GGCACAGGGAGAACGTGCGACTCTGTGGCGTCAGGAAGTAGCCACAAAGCCGGTGACGGCTGGGGAAGGGTTCACAGCAGTGCAAGCTCTAAAAAATGCACAGACAGCTGGAAGATGGGGTGGGGGCTCGTCCTCCCCTGCCCCTAGATGGAGGAGCTGAGCGCATGTTTCGCCTCCACGTGCCAGGCCGCCGCGGGGTCACGATCCGCCGTACTAACAGAGGTTGGGACTACCTCATCAGGAGAGGGCCTTGTGGCCCAGTAGCTGCCAGTGGTTGGTGCGGAGAGCGAACAGGGCCGATGTGGGGCGGCGGGTGAGGGGTCAATGGGATCACCAGTGGCGGCACCGGGGACGGACTGGCTGTAACTCACTTCTAGGCCGGGGGCGGCGGCAGATATGAAGGAGCGCATGCTGCTGGTGCTGACACTAATGGCGGGTGATGGCTGACGCCGAGGCGGTGGCTGGCTACTGTGAACCAAATGGGACATGGGTGGAAGCCCGGATTCCGTGGTGGGACCAGAAGCGCCACTTGGGTGCCAGGGACTGCCGACTGCCTCGGTACCGGTCGATGCATCGTACTGCATCCGCGATTTGTAGAAGCAGACCTCTGTTTCGGACATGTCACAAAATGATGGTGGCGCTGGTGCTGACGGAGGCGGCGGCGGTGGCGGCGGCAGATTCGGTGCAACTGTCGTTGTTGAGGCAGTTTCTGCAAGAGGCAGGAAGACGTCGGGCGGATCTACGAGGCAGGTCAGGTAGGGAATGGCCACACCGGGGCAGTGCTGTTGAAGCAGTTGAACACAACGCCTTGCCTGATCCCGCCAACTCTCAACTTCACGCAGCAGGCGATTGGCCTCGGCGTTAAGACCGTCGACCTGGGCCTGAAGTTCCTGTGTACGATGCAGTTTCCGTTCACGGCACTTTTGAGCCGACTTTCGATTACGCTCTCGCCGTTTCAGTCTACGATCTGCTTCATCCGCGTCAACCTGTGGCAAAGAAGGAGAGTGGAAGTTTATAGCAAAGAAGTTGACTGCAGGACAGTCTGGAAGGAGAATAATTTGTCCCCCTGCCCTATTCTGGCTACAGGCAAGGATGTTAGGCTCTAAGCAGCTATTGCAAAAATTATGGGCCAAAGAGTTGGAAAGGGCGTGTGCGTCTCTGACTCATCACCGCTCTGGCAAGGTGGGCGACGGTCGGCATCGAAACGATCGAGGCCAATACCTCCGCGTGTCTGGATCAGACCGCTATCTCTCTTAGAGCCTTCGTAGCCTTCAGATAGCGCAATCCGGATTTCACGGGAAGTATTGAGCATTATGGTTTTTGGCGTCTGTTGTTTGTTGCTAAGATTGAAAATCACATGGGAATCTAACCTGATTTGAGGTCAGGTAGCCTGCTGGAGGATCATGGTAGTAGAAAAAATCAGTAACCTGTCAAAAGATTGACCGATTTACGAAAAAAAACACCTGGAGAGGCGGGCATTCCTGAGCATGGCCCCAGATCGTTCTGTCAGCCAATCCGGGGTAGATAGTTTGCAAACAATAAATATGCGCCAGGAGAGGGGTGAGTCGGCCGGGTTCCGCACGAAACGCATAACAGGAGTTGGGTGCCACTGATCTCGCGGTACGTTCAAATTTGAATAGACTCATTTTCCCACCTCCTTCACCCCCACGAGCGTACCATACCCGTCAACTCCAATCTCCTCAAGCATTGGTAGTAAATAAATAATCGCGTTTTCTGAGCAGAGCACGTATCTCAGCCACCTCCCTCGCATAACCGAAGCACTCTGTACGGACGCACTTGCGTACGAAGGAGAAAATGATGCATGCTATGACGGGAAGGGGGATAGTGCACGCAGAACGGGCTGTGACATACCATCCAGCGTCCGGGGTCCGGCATGAGAAACGTCTGTTTGGAAAACAAAAAACGTGACGCACGCGAGCAGGCAGTCCGCAGCAGCAGAGGCGTGCTCCCGCTTTTGGCGGCAACACGGCTTGAGCAGTCATCAGGGCACTGCACACACACTCGGACGCGCCACATTGAGAGCGCTTTGAACTCAGGCGCGCGCGCCTGACTGTGTGGGTCAGATTTTAATTTAGAAAGAAGTGTTACTACTCGCACCGCTGCTACCACAAACACCCTCATATCACACTTGTATTCTCATGCAAAGAGAGCTCACGCTTAGGCGCCATCGTTTGCCGCGAAACTCGCCAATTCTGCCTATACACGCAACCGACGAGTGTGCGCGCCCGCACGTACTGGAAGATTGATGGTCACTGCCGCCGGCTATATCCAGTTCCGCATTCTCACGACCAGACACGAATTGACGCATGTGCAAGTACCATTGCAGTTGCTCTTGTGTGCGCGTATGAGAGCGAGAGAGGGCGAGCTCATCGCAGCAAGGGTAGTCAGGATGGAGACGTATCTCGCCGGCAATTGCCAAAATTCCCAAATAATAAACGCCCACTTCGGGCTCAGACTGTCCCGGTCGGATACCTCTGCATTCACTGTATCTAACAATATTGGCGTCCACATAACACGCAGGCAATGCGGATGAGGTTAATCGACGATAATGAAGAACCACTTTGGCATGATCTTGCGTTGCATCCCAACTGGGGTCTGCGTTTTGCAGCGGGCAGGTATCGGAGCGATGCGCGGTTTCTTGTCAGTTGAAGGATTAGGATGTGCTGCAGGGGGGGGATGACCAGGAACGCCTAGTCGGTTACTGCACCTTTTCCCAGACCCAATCATATTGATTCAGCTTTGCTGATGTATCCTGGTGGGGTTGGAAAGAGTAGCTGAAGATGTTGAAGTCTCCTCGCCAGTGGTCAGGTCGATTTCATAGTTATTACGTATACAACACAACTTATGTTAAACCCTGGGATGGGTGAATTACTGCATCTTGCACGGGTGACCGAAGCCAATCCGGTCACTTTTTAAGTGCAAACACCAGTGTGAAACTATGAAATTCGGTAGCCTTCTGGCTAACTAAGAAGGCGTATTTAAGGAAACATCACACACTCCGTCGCGAAGAAAGAAAATACAAAGGTTGTTTCAATGGTAGTTTGCTTACCGTCTTTAGTCAGCTGACCGTGTCCACTGAGTTAAAACACAATATGGGCGCCCGTGCTCGTCTTTTTCAACGACTTAACTTGGAATGAATTTTCACTGGTAGACAACACACTGGGTTAACCTACTGGAAAGGATGGCCAGACCCGTCCATAAACTCGTCAGGTACAAAGTTGACATTACCGGCATCAGCGCCATCAGTTTTTCAAAAGAACAGTGAATCAGTTGTCCAGGAATGCGATTTGTCTTCCTATGGAGTCTAATTTTCTGCCAGGAATGCAAGCTGAGCACATTTACTTCCCTTGCTCATTGCACCAATGACCAAGTCATCACTCTAGGTACACCGATACTCTCAAGAAAACGTTATACCATCATCACCGGTGCCCACGATTCAATGATGGCTGACAATGTCGACGTAAACAACAGATTGAAAGAGGACTTTCACCCCCCTATTGAGTCCCTTCTGAGACCGGACAAAGGCGCTATTTTTGGGCGCAGATTTTGTCACCCGGAAAGGGGCTGATTGGTATTCGTGGTGTTGAAGCCTGCAATAACAGCAAAACACCAACGGTGGCAAAGAAAGTAATTACAACAGACTTTCCCCAAATGTCCACGCGGAACATAATTTGTGCATCAGGATCGTGACAGCTCCCGTGCCTAACAGCAGGGAAACAATATGGTGTACGCATATTTACTGCATTAATCATTGCTGGGCTACGTGTTTGTGAGGAGACGCCACCGTCAGCGTGTGATGATACCAAAATCAGTGTGGCTGCCATGTGCCAATCCGACTACTGCCTGCTCATATCTCACATGGAACAGCATATTTGACCGGAGAGCCATCCTGTTGGAGGAAGGGTAGTAGGGCGGAATGACATTACCGAGAAAGACACTGGAGACTGAAATGGCCGTTTCTGGCTTACTGGTCGTCGCCAGCCAGTCATGCCCAACCCCGAAGTGTGGAATACCTGAGGCTCGAACTCGCGACCTGTTAGTTGGGCTCGAGAGAGACCCCGTGAGGCACAACGGAACGAGTGACTTCCGTAAGAACGATCAGTGAGCGCCCCTCTACCATTGTATATTCCCGATCGAAAACCGACAAGACAACGGGTCCGTGGCCCAGTGGTTAGTGGCGTGGACTTCGAACTAACAGGTCGCGAGTTCGAGCCTCGGGTGTTCCACACTTCGGGGTTGAGCATAACTGGCTGACGACGGCTAATAAGCCAGAAATGGCCATTTCAGTCTCCCTTGTCTTTGTCGGTAAATACCATTCCGCCTATATCATGCGCCGCTGTGCGGCCGCTGGTTGGGCTCGAGAGAGAGCCTGTAAAGCACAACGGAACGAGTGAGTTCCGTAAGAACGATCGGTGAGCGCCCCCTCTACTACAGGAACTTTATTAGCCTGACGTTTAGGATTCTCACTCGAATCCATCATCAGAGACAGAGTCAGATAAGGGTACTAAACTGCCCAGGTGTCGCAGTATTTATCGGATGTAGTTGCTAGGCCGGCACATGCCTATCGCAGTTGGCAGCTCCCGAGTGCGTCACGGCTCGGGCCGTACGTAGGCTGATACCTCGACCTAGTTGGACAAGGTCGAGAACTCGTTATACCCAGGAAGCAGCCATCGCAAAGAGGATACGGCCCATGCGTTAATTTCCATTGGCAGGTAGCTCTCGAACAACAACTTCTTGCTCGCCCCGATAAGTTATGTGGGCGGGGTTTGGTGGATTGCACTGACACAGACTGGGCGGAATCACCCTAAGTCCATCCAATGTACTCGGTAGACGATACACTGCTGCGTCCACCATAAACTTAGTTTTAACAGACGCCGGTAGATGATAGGATATTTCTGATTTTAAGCCCTACGTGTGTCCCTCACCTTAGCGTTCGGCAGAAAATATACACAAAAGCAACATGGACCCCAGGGGTTTGTGTGTCCAAAGAGTCCACATCTTCGGATGATGCTAAGATAGTAGGGCTGTAGGAAGTGTCTTCCTTATCACAAGAGCTCTGATCTCCAGTCTTCTGTTCGCATGATCGCCCCATCGCCAGTATTAACAGTGACCTGGCACAAAGTCATAAACATTTTGGTTGTTCTTCACCAAAATGGCCAAGGCCAAAATTCACTGCCGGTGGAAAAAAATTTAAGCAGATACGGTAGTCAGTCGCGCGTGAAGGGGAGCGGATTGGTGATTAGTCACGACTAGACTTGCCTGACTAGGTTTATGGTCAAGAGTTGAGAGAGTCATAAATACCCCAGCAACAGATAATTCAACTCTCCCGGTCCCGTTTGATAAAATTCCTAGTTTAAAAATGCAACTACGGATTCGAATATGAGGCGACTAGCAGATGATCAGAGTCGTTTGATGTTTCAAGTGGCAACATCTATCGCCTATCTATCCTAAACGTCTGGCACATCCTCTGAACAGTGCCACCCAGGACGACAAGGGGATACACGACACTCCGGCAACCGGAACTATCGGTGATCTAGCAGGTCGCGTGACATTCCCGCATTCGACATTGACAAAACAATCCTCGGCTGCGAGCAGTCTACGTGGCACAACGTAGGCGGCGCAGAGCACACACACAAAGCTCTGAATATGGACGGCCGTTCTAGTATTATAGGCGTCAAAAAACCGATAGGATTCTCCGCTTTGCCCACTCTTCCCTTTCTATGAACGCTGTATGAGCAAGTAGGTAAAGCCTCTCCCTCAAAAGTTGAAGACCGGCTCGCTCCCAGAAGGCCGCGGTTGTGGAGGCACAGGCAAAGGACAGGAGAGTGAATAAACGTACCGGCTCTGACTTGAGATTCCTTCGTCCGGTAGCCAAAGTCGGCGCCGGTTTGCGTGTTTTCTTTGTACCACGGTTCGCCGAGGAGGAGGTTGTTGTTTCCCCGTCCGATGAGACAATGCTGGCAGCTGCCGATCCGGTAGTGGAATCGGGTCCGATAGAATAACGAGTAGTAGGGTACTTGGTGCCTCTTGTGTTGAAACCGTTGTTGATACCCATTTGGCCGGGCTTCAGCACTTCGCCGCTGACATCAGCAGAATGTGCAAGGAAGGAACCGGCGGTATTAGCGTACTGCCCGTCACCGTTGGTATAAGTACAAGCGCTTGAGGTCGAACTTCGGAAAACTTTAGAGCCTTGATTCATCGGGTAACTTGTGGTGGTTGGATCACAAGCGCCAGGGGGACAACGGCCTTCAACAAAATCCATCGTCATGTTTCCACTGGCTGGTGTATTAGCGGAATAAACAGATCGCACGTCATTGACTCCCTTGTCCCACCGTGAGATGCAAGACGGGTTGGAGAGGCTCCCATTAGATACGCTTTGCGAAAACGCGATTGGTACAGGTGCTTCACCAACTTCACGCTTCAGCGGCGTGTATGGATGATCAACAGAGCGGGTCGAGATTGGAGAAGGCAAGCTTTGTTCATAATGCGAAGTTGATGAGGAGAAACCGGGATTGGTAAAACGAGAACTGGAGTACGAGCCGCCGCCGCCGCCGCCACCACCACCGCTGCCACTGCCACCAACTGTAGTGAACGTCTTACCATTCTGATTGGTCAACACAGACGGCGAAGTCTTGGAGAAGCTGAGGAGGTTGTGTGCAGCGGGTAAGCTGCCGACATGCGATGTCGATGTGTCACAAGCTCCTTCATTCATCCATTGGGGAGATGACATCTGAGAGAGGGGTGACCATGATGGGTAGTCAGAAGGATGTCGGGAGCGCATCTGAATCTGGTCTGAGTGACAGTCAACAGTGGCAGTGTCGCGTTTGAAGTAAGGCACCTGGGAGGGTGGAGGGGAGGGGGAAAAGGAATTCTGCGATGCCCGGTTGATGAGCGAGTGTTGTGAAAAGCCACTGTGGTTATTTGCCACCGACGACATCATCGGGATCTCTGCGGATTGGCGTCCGCCGGATGGTTAATATTAGGAAGGTTGCGGGTTGTCGTAGAAGGGCAAGACAAGAACTAAATGTTGCGCCTGTAAGGAAGGGAAAGGGGGTAAACAAAGTTCTGAGGGGACAATGATTTACAGAAAACAATAAACTAAGGCAACCCACCAGCGCTGAAATTTGTAAGTGTACTGAGGCCCAGGGGTTGGGATATCCTCTAGGGCAGGACGACAACAACAACGGACAGAGGTGGAATAATGGCCGCTTGTTTCAGACACGCGCGCCCGCGCAAGAAAATGGTCGATGCGGTCCAGCCGAAGTTTCCCGCGGTCGCGCGACAGTATACGCCCAGTCGCCTGCAGCACAGGCATGAGTCAACGTCGACCAAGCCTTTGCTGGCCGCGTAACTAAGCTGTGAAGCGTACGCATTGCACGTTGGTTGGTCGACGGTCGGCCAACCAACACACGGCAAGATAAGTTGCGCCGGCGGCCTGCGTATGAGAGTGGGCGTAGGCGTATGCACGTCTGTGGTGTCGCAACTACAGGAGCCACTGGCTTGACCCAGCGCGCACACGTCGTTACCCGGGGGACCGACACAGAAACCGCTGTCTCGCAAGGTGTAGAGGTGGGGAATTCAGGGTGGGCAGTCGGGAGCCGGAGGCAATAATAATGTTTGCAGATGGCGTGATGTCCTTATATCAAACTTCAATAATAAGATGTGCTCAGCGGACAACGATGCCGCCGCTTTTTGATAGGGAGGATAATTACGGCCCGGGATAAATAATTAAGCACAGTGACCAACCTTCTCTAATAACATGAATGTGAGATGAGCCAGAGCTTGGAGGGTAAGCCTGCCACCAAAATGGGCTTCTGCACTTTAGGTGATTGCTGAGCCTAATAAAATATGAGTGTGGTGTCAGTCATTGTGCGAAACATACGTAGCATAGGAGAATTTAAAGCCAATATATGAAATCATATATGAAAACCTCTCCTTGAAGGATGCAGATGCCGGTGGGTGGGGACTTGTGGCGAGGTCTATCAGATTTATACTAATTCTGCCACCTCTAGGCAACCCTTGGGGGTCTTTAATGATCTCGCGAAAGGTTCAAATGGTCAACAGGGGCAGCAGAAACCAAATTTCCAAAAAGAACCCACTTTGACCCAGTGCTGGTTTTCATATTTTCATTCCCCCGCGTGCAGCTCAGTTGGACTTTGCATTAGCAAATACACTGATGAAGCATGATGCTAGAGTAGGAATTATTAGGTTAATCGACCCCCCTCCCAGTGCATGCTGATCGGGAGTTCTGAGGCGACCATGAGTAAACGTCCGCAAACCAACTGTGACGTTTGCTGCGATTATCTCAATCGTAGACAAGACGCTCGAAGTAAAGCAAGACACGGAAGTTGGCGAATGCTGGGGGAGGCGGTGTTTTTCTGATGTTTGTTTGGAAGAGAGGAAGATCCTCGTAACAGACTGCTTTGAGCCACCGATTCAGCCAGACAGCAGCTTTTTTCTGGCAGGGTTTGCTAATAGAAACGAAGAGGCCAGTTCCAGGAAGTTGTCGCGAGGAAGGAGACACGATCGCTGGAACAAGAGTACTGGCGTTTCGGATTCTTACTCGAATCCGTCATCAGAGACAGAGTCAGATAAGGGTCCCTCACTCTGTCTCTGATGATGGATTCGAGTGAGAATCCGAAACGTTGAGCTAACAAAGCTCTTGTTCTAGCGATCATGTCTCCCTCTTCGCTCTGGCAGTGTTTTCCCGGAAATTAATGAAGCAAGCGATTCGGCTTCAAACCCTCCCGAGTTGTGAAAGAAAGCCCCTAACATACAATATAAAGCAAAACTGTGGTCAAGACGATTGCATATGTTTGGAATTTTCTCCTCGCTATACTAAACTTTGTTCGCTAACACTTGATCAAGCATTTAGGTGGGGTTGTACATGAGACCGAACACACCGTGCGTCACTAGATATGCACGTTCCGACTCTCAGCGAAGGCAGGTTTTAAGAAAACACAACAGGTTCGTGCTAGCGATAGCATGATCTGGATACATTCAATCCCCAAGACAGCAACGTCAAATGTCTGCCGAGGCCTTTCATAATCTATGTCAGCTTTCGTGGGACGAAAATCTTCCTCACCACAGTCAGGTCGATGAGGAGTCACTTGCAAGTGGCTTCAAGTATTCCCGCATCACAGTCTATAGAATGTGGACGCGGGCTCAGTTGGTAGGACATCTGACTAAACTGCCCTGTGTCCACTCGGCCCCAGTCCGAAATATGAGTCTCGCAGGGCCCGTGTTGGGGCATGGTTGGCTGATGATGTTGACGGTGACAATAAGTCATAGATAATAACCATACAATTGCATACTACTGGCTGCCTGTTGGCGGTTCATGAGTGTCCCGCGGTTATTACGCAGTAGCTGATGGGTTTCGGCCCAAATATTCATATCAACTTTCAGACCATGCCTGAAAGTCTGTTCCGAAGAATTTACTCGCATTTACTTGCGCATTTATTTCCTCGGAAATTAGACAAGGCAGAATAAAACTGGAGTTCATATACCAGAAAACACACGGGGAAGGCTGGGCTCGAACCCCTCGCAGCTGCGTCGGGCAGCGGCACAAGATCGGCGAAACACGTGTGTCTGGGTTTTTAGCTAGTACCTGAGTTGTCAGTACGGCAAATAATTACATAAGTCATAGATGGCCATTCTACCCCCCCCCCCCTCGTCGTTTCCTGTATAGGAATGGAATCGCTGAGCTTTCGTGAATTGAGTTAGATGTTGGAAAGGACAAGGACTAGAGACAGTTTACTCTGCCGTCAAACACTCTCGGCGACGGAGCAAGGACCTTCGGACCGACGGGTTCGACGTACTGCGAACATGCTGTCTACCTGTCTGACTTCCCAGAACGATCACACTCTGAACGGCAAGAAAGGGGTCGCGAAAGTGTACTGTTGACCAGCGGTTAGACCTCGTTTGTGAACCACTTACACAGTGTGGGTAAGCATGTTTGCGTTTGCGATAGCAGATTTCAGTAAAGGGTACTGCAGGCTGAGCGAAGGAACACATCGACAGAGTTCCGGCTTATTGGCTGTCATCGGCCACCTAAAACGCGACGCAGGGTCTGAAAGTTTAGGTCTGAATCCGATCATCGAGCATTTCTTCACTTGGGCACTGGCAGTTTAGCCTCGCGCTCATGTCTCATGGGCTGCGATCGGCGCTATAGTGCAACGGTCCCACGCTCCTGTTTGTTTTTGCCCGCCGTCGACTGTACCAACAATTGCAGACAGTGACCTCCCATCATGACCTTCAGCATGCTCACTGATCACTGGTGTCAGCCTCCTAGCGTCTCTTGAGAACGGGTCGCCAACTGATGAGGGCTGTTTACGTTAGTGGAAACGGAGACAGACTGCCGTTGAGTCGCCAAGTGACTCGTAATAGGATCTGGTCAAGAACAGAACTTCTCGTGGGAGGGGGTCAATTGAAAAAGTTTTCTGGATGAAGCAGACGCAAATCACGAAATGCGACTGAAAGAAGGCTTCAGGTTTTTTGATCAGGAGCCCTAATCAAAAGCACTGCATTCGGCGTTCTAACGGTGTGAGAACGTGCCTTATTGGTTCGCCCACCAACTTTTTGAACAGCCCACTCGTCTGAAAAATGCGACCGGGATGTGTATACACGTATGCTTGACTACAACAGGAAGTAATGTTTTACATAACTTTCAGAAGAAACAAGGCAGCGTGAAGCTGCGCCACTCTAACCTAGCCTCCGGATCACTGTAAATGAATGTTGGCAGTATTGAAAGTCAACCGCTTGTTAAAATGCGACCTGTCAAACATCTCATTTCAGTAAAAGTAAAATATTTAAACTGCGCAAGCAGTCTGTTGTCAAGGGCCCAAGCTGACTACGACGCGGAGGCGTTCCGTACTGGTATCGAGCCTGAGGCATTGACCGGTCTCATTCCAGGAAAAACATACGGGGTTCCCGGTTGACAGACCGATAGACCAAATTGCTTACTATAGAAGCCACGATGCTCGAATGATAAAGTGTCTCTCTAGGATATACTCAAAGGTTATTCTTTATAATTATTCGCGCTAAAATTAAATCTACGAAGACAGTGACAAGAGGCACCTAGGGGGGCGGGGATCGACTGCGCCTATAAGAGAACATATACTATGCCTGCAAACCCCAGTTAGATACATAGTGCATAAGAGCTGACAAAAACCACAAATGTAGACGACAAGCTTTTTCGGTGCACGCACAGTGCGAGACTTCCCGTGAAAGTGCATCTACCTACTGATGAGTCATCGTTCAGAAAGAGGACAACCTGGATGAAATTTACATAATCCGACCAAATTGCGTATGTAGGAGGTAAGCATGATGGATGAAGGTTAACAACAGAAGATATTTATGTGTATTTAGTTAAGCTTACCACACGATGCTGTTGGCGGCAGTTCTGAGACTAGTTCATCGAAAGAAGCGTACGCGAAAATGACGAATGCCGGTGGCGTTCACCTTCGCTCGCTTTCAGTGCATGTGCGGAGTGAGTGTACGTGCGTGCGTGCACGTTTGTTTTGGTCTACGCACGGTCGCTTTCTGTTAGCCTGCGAGGTCGTAGCCGGCGTCGTCACGGGGCGAGGAGCTGTGGCAGGCTGTCTGAAGGTCTAGCTTGCCGCACCCCATGGTGGTGTCCGGACAGGCTCGCTGAAGCAGCACCGGAGTCCGCGCGTGGCACTTGCGCTGGCGCTAAGGCTGTCAAGCCGGCGACCAGTGAGCAGGTTGAAGACGGTCTGTTCTTCTGCACTGTGCAAGCTCTCTTTCTCTTCCTTCCCTCATCCCTCCCCCCCTTTTCCGTCTACGCCTAGGCCTGACGCGAGTGTCTTACGCACGTGTGTCAGGAGCTTGCTTTGACGCACCTCTGGCCTGGTCACCAGTCTACCAATCAAGCGCCAGTTCCTTTCTTTCTTTTTGCCTATGCACCAATCAGAATAG